TCATCTTTTTGGTACATGGCAGGATAGCAATCGAAGGCTGTGACTTGGTTATGCAAATCGATTTGCTGTTACAACATTAACCAAACACTGAATTTGACAGTGCTTTACAAAGCAATGAACTACATCGATGCTGGAAAGACAAAAGCACAGATGTAAACACTTGATAATTAGAAGGTCAGAATGGATTTCAGGAAAGCTGAGTATGCAAAATGGAGCATCCAGGGACACTCTCCATTTCTAGGGGAGTCTAAATATTAAAGCAGGCAGCAATCAGTTCTTTCTGGTGAAGGTCACTTGTAAGACTTCACGCTCACTCCTGTTCTGACACGTACTGTATTGGAGTCAATGGATTGCTCATAGGCATAAATGATGAGCATTCTTTCAGTATTTTAATGAGGTGGCAAAAAACATGCCATAAAAGATCCCATATAATCCATATGTGTGCACGTAAAATAATGTATTGTCAGAAATACAGAATGGGTATATAGTAGGAATTACGTGTTGGAGAAATGCAGTTACAACCATAGAGATGTCGTTTATATATTTTCAGGACTGTATGGGGTCTTTCAAGCTTAGGCCAGCAGAGTTTGAAGTGCTATAGGAGTGCTGCAAAAGGTGTAAGGTGCTACGGCCTCCAGGTTGAGTATTCCTGAAGTAAAGAGATTGCCAGAATAGTGATGAGGGTGCAAGGAACAGCTATCAGCTATATTAGCTTCTGTGTCAATATAGCTGAGCCTGGCCTTTCTTCAACTTTCTGCCTTGTTCGTGGAGTCCTTCTTGACATAGTGTGGTTTTGCTTTTTCCTTGGCAATGCAGCTTTTAGTCATTGACTCAGTATTTGCTGCTTGGATTTTGGTAATTTGAGAATTCTTTCTCAACAGCCTGTGTCGGGGTTTGCTCTCGCTACCAGTTTCTCTGCGATGATGGCTGCTGCATTGACATCACGTTTGCTTGCGATGGCGTGAGACAGTGCCCTGATGGATCGGATGAAGCTTTCTGCCAGAACTGTAAGTGCACCGGGCCCCCGTGCAGACTGTGAAAGTAACCACAGCCTGAATGACCACAGGGAAATGATGCCGCTTCTGTGGCCTCTCTCCCTGTGAGCATGCAGCTTGCGCCCACCATAGAGCCTTTCCTTGGAAATCGTACGTGGGAAGGGTTCGTGTCCGCATATGCTCAGATATATGAGCAGATGCTCAGAAATTAACTCCCCTTTCTTCCAAGAATATCAAAACTGTCCAGGGTCCCCAAATGACAGATTTTCTGTTAGACTTCTCAGCATTTAAAAGGTCAGTTCTTTACTTGCATGGTGATTCTGGAAACAAGGACCCTGGTCTTGATCTGAAAGGGTGTCTCAGAATTATGCTTCAAGGTGCAGTTGTGCACCTTGCAAGACTGTGAAGCGCTGGAAATGTGAGCACGTAGGGGAACCAGCTGATTCACCATCGCTCTGTTTGCTTCCATCAGTCATCCTCAATGTATGCTCAGCCAAGTGAACAAAAACCATCAGCAGGTGCGTTGACACAATGGCTAACCATCCTTTTATTGATGTTTCAGTTCCTGGATTTCACTCTAGGGTTCATGTGTATACTCTTGCTTAAGAACTGACAGCGGGCAGTTGTTAACTTGCTACGTCTCTGGAACTCAGCTTCATCATATGTCTGAACCTGATGAGCTTGTTTAGCTTGCCTCAAGGCCCATATTGGAGGGTCTTCCACCAGAACACTCCCATTCCCTTCAATTCTTTATAAAAATGATGATTTTTGTTTCTGTTTAACGTAGTCAGCCCGGGCCGGAAGACGGTGACTCATGTGGCTCTTGGCACTACCCAGCAAAGGACTGTAGGACTGACAGAAAACGCAGATGAAAACTTCTCTGCAGAAAACACCCTGAAAGCCACTGCCAGAGATCAACCACTTCTTGCAGTGGATGCAGACGTGTCTAACCAATCGCTTTCTCAGGGACCAAAGAAACAAATCAGTGGATTTGTGCCAGGTAAGAATTTAAATGAACCAGTTTCAATAAGTCTTTCTCTCTTGAGGTGGAAAATGTTTTGCTCCTTAAATTTAATTAAATTGTCTTTTGCTGCCTGGCTAAGAGTAAAAAATCTGCAAATGTACAAAATGCAAAAGAAGCTTGTAATAATTGTTACAACTAGGTATTGCTTTATAAAGTCAAGTCTGGTTCTTACCAGGTGCAAAAAGAAAGTTAAAATGTAGAAATGCTAGGAAAAGAAGAGAGTCTTACGGAACTAAACGTGCACTGAGCTAAATACAAATTCTGCCACAGGTTCAGCTGTGTGAGCTGGTGTATGAGGCTCTTTAAATCTGTAGGAGGGTACCTTCAGCAGAACGTAACAAAGTACTGTTCAGCTTGGGTGCGAGTAATTGCATCTCTCCTGGTGCTAACTCATGACACCCCCACCTCCCCCACCCCC